AAGTCATGTACTCAGTCCTAGCAATCAGAGATAAGAGTCAAAAGAGAGTAAAATTATGAGTATATTACCTTCTAAGTAGCTTTATGATATTGTACATTCAGAGTTTCTCAAGCAAAATGAAGGATAGTCATTGAAGCATCCCCTGTAATAAAAGGTGATGTAAAAATCCACATATAGGAAGCAGATTACATAAACTAGGAGGCTGTGGTAGGCAGAATGATGGCCCCCCCAAAGATGTCTACATGTAATCTCTGGAGCCTGCGAACAAGGTACCTTACATAGCAAAATGTACAGTTATGGTGGATCTTGGTTAAGAATCTTGAGATAGGAAAATTATCCTGGATTATTACATCGGTGGACCCATTGTAATCACAAGGTGGGAGTGTAAGAATCAGAGAGAATGAGATACAATGATGGATACAAAAGTCAGGGCTGGGTGCAGCAGCTCACGCCTGTAATCCCAGCACTCCGGGAGGCAGAGGTGGGAGAATTGCTTAAGCTCAGGAGTTTGAGACCAGCCTGGGCAACATAGCAAGACCTTGTTTCTAAAAAAAAAAAAGTCTTAAATTAGCTGGATTTGGTGCATGCACCTGTAGTCCCAGCTACTCAGGAGGTTGAGGTGGAAGAATTGCCTGAGCCCAGGAAGTAGAGGCTGCGATGAGTTGTGATAATGCCACCGCAGGCCAACCTGGACAACAAGGTGAGACACCGACTCAAAAATTTAAAAATAATAATAAAATTCAATATAAAAGCCACAAAAGTCAGAGTGATACAATTGCCAGCCAGGGTCTCCAAAAGGAACATAGCCCTGAGGATTTCAGTCCAACGAGACCAATTGTGGATTTCTGACCTCCAGTACCATAAGATAATAAAGCCTTAAAACTTGTGATAATTTGTTAAAGCAACAAAAGGAAATGAATACAGGTGCTTCCACACATAATAGAATACTGTGCAACGATTTAAAAGAATGCCGTGCACTTGTATGTTTTCATATGGAAAATCTCCATTTTAGTAAGTGAAAAACATCGAGGTCTAGGACAATGTGAACATCATGATAGCCCTTGGTTACAAAGGATATACACATAGGCAATCTAAAAGTCCAAATATAAGAGCTAAATAAACACCTGGAAGGCAAAACAAAAAAGTGAATAATATTATTGCCTCTGGGACACACTGGGGAGGAGTAGGCAGGGTTAGAAGGGGACTTACTTTTCACAGTGTACTTCTCAAAACTGTAATTCATTTTGAGAATTGTCACTCAAAGAGATTCTTTGGAGGTGAAGACTTTCAGAGTCTGAGGCTGGAGAATTGCTTGATCCCAGGAGTTTGAGATCATCCTGGGCTACATAGCAAGATCTCATCTCCACAAAAATTTTAAAAATTAGCCGGCATAGTGGCACACAACTGTAGGCCCAGCTACTCGGGAGGTTGAGGCAGAAGGATCACCTGAGCCCAGCAGTTGGAGGCTGCAGTGAACCATGATCCATGATCATGTCCCTGCACTCCAGTCCAGGGTGAGATCCTGACTCAAAAAATAAAAATATAAAAAGAAACCATACAAAGCCCTATGAGTATTTTGCAGGTGTTGCTCTGAACTTCAAGGGAGAGTGGATAAATAACATTTCCTGACATGAGCAATTAGCTTCTGGGTGTGAGAACTGCTAATGTGTGCCCCAGAGCAGCCAGACTTGAAGGTCAGATGGAAGCTGAGAGAAGGAGCCTCAAGGTCATTGTGGAAAAAATAGATACTCACTCCGTGTCCAGAATTAGACCATTCTAAAGAAGAGACGGTACTTCTTCCCCAGAAGTCTGCTAAAAAGAAATGTCAGAAGGAGATTGTAGTTTTGTGAGCCAGAAGCTTAGAAAAGGAAACCTAAGAAGGTGGTGAGGCTATAGCTAATTACCAAGTGTGAACAGCAGGAGAAAGGAAAGAGCTCCCAGCCACTCTTGTAAACTGGCTCAGTTATCACCCAAGGCAGTGAACTATCCCTGCGGGCCCTGAAGCAGTGAGGCCCCTCCCCCCACCAGGATTTCTTGGTGAACTGTGGGGGACCCTGACAGATGTGGCTCCAGGAGGAAGGAGGAGCCTAATCGTGGGGGAATGACAGGAGTTAGCGCTGGGAAAAGGTGAAGGAGCATATTTACAGTTGAGGTCTGAGGTATGGAGAAGCAACTTGTGAAGCCCAACATCAATTTGGGAATTACGGGTGATGATCCCTGACCCAAGGGATCCACGGCTTCTCAAAACAAAGGAGAAACGGAAAGAACCTCGCCCCCACTACTACCCCAGGTCCTTAAAAACACACAAAAGCACAATTGCTTAATATTTGAGTCACTTAATCCTTCTAAATCTCAATTTACTTATCTGTAAGATGGGAATACATTTTACCTTCCTCTGCAGTGAGGGAAAAGCTAGTCCCATGTGTGGCAGGCACTCTGGCATGCTCTGTCTTACTTGCCATGGGCTTCTCTAAGTGCTAGAAAACTGTTAGTTCTCTTAATTTCCATGACAGTCTACAAGGAGATTAAAGGAATTGTACAGATGGAGAAACTGAGGCACAGAAGCACTTAAGCAGCTTGCTGAGGAATTCCTGGGTTTTCAGGAATTCAGTAGTAGAGGCAGGACTTGACCCCAGGCAATTTGACAATACAGACCATGCCTAACCACTAAGCCAAGGACTTTTTGTAGTAAATGGGAGGAAAAAGTGGTTGTTGTGGTTGTGGTGATGGTAATGACTGCACTGTAAAGGTACCATTATTTGTCTCCATCTTACAGATAAATAGATTGAGGTTTAGAAAGAATTAAGTGCATTTACCATAGTACTGTAAGAAAGGGATTGGCAGTAGCTGGAAACTGCCAGGGGAGAGTAGGGGGCACATAACATTAGCAAGGGTACCTGATCTCAAACCAGGCATAGAGGGGACCAGAGAGGGGTCCAAACTTTACCTGTATGATGACCACTTGTACACCTAATCCTGAATTGTACCCGCACATCTTTAAAATAAAATAAATTTTTTTTAAAATAAGGATTAAGTGATTCAAATGTTAAGTAACTATACTTTTGTGGCCTAACGTGAAGTTCAGGTACCCCCATCAGAAGGGCAAGACAAAACTTATGAGACCACCTGCTCCAGTGACAGTTTCTGGGTAGCTTTTGGGAGTCAGAGAAAAGGGGGCCATCTGAGCATTTCCAGTGACAGGATCAGCAACAGCCTGAAGTACCCTGTGCTGTGGACTCCTCATCTGTGTTCCTGGGGTGGAGGAGATTTGAGTGGGCTTGGTGTATCTCCTGGGCTGGGCTCAGAGCAGAGTGGCACCACGATACCACAGAGACCTGACAAGAACCCCTGGATTTTCCAGGTGGGGCTGCCAGGGACAGACATTGACACTTGCAGGAATGGACACCGTAGCAGGGCCCTCAGCAATTCCCTGTCTTGTCTGGATCAGAAGGAGGAGATTGAGCAGCTGGGACACAGAATAGGAGCTTCATTTCTCATTAGCGCTCAGAGCGCACACCCAGCATGGAGGGCTTGCTGAAGTCCACACACAAGAGCTGCTCTTGGTGCCAAACACAGTTTGAAAAGTTGACTCCAGCTCAGCTTAAGCGAGCACAGGACAGTGGAAAGTTTATAAGCTGCCCCATTACTAAAATGACTATAGTATTAAGGGGTAGAACTCAGTTAATTTAATAACTGACAGATCATGGAAAATGTTCTTGCTAACAAGAACAAGGCTAGGAGTTTATTTGCCAAGGAGATAGATCAGACTTGCTTAAGTTCAAATTCATTTATTTCTTCTTCTTTTTTCCCCCTTGCTTTAATCTTGAGGTTGCTTTAGTTTTGTAATGTCTATAAATTGATTTTGGGAAGTTGTACCTTACCAAAATGTTTCAGTATGCAGCTGACCTGTTTGGGTTTTCTCAAGCATTTTCTATGGGTAAACACTTTACTTAGGCTAATCAAGTGATGATGTGGAGGAACAAAATTTAAAAAGGGGGAAGTGGAGCTGGGGTGGGAATAATGCCTGCCACAGTGAGCATTTTTGTTGCTCCCTTCACAACTGTGCTGATCTTCCCACTGGTGGTGTTAGGGTGGGGGGAGGGGCTGCAAAACCATCCCTAGTCCAAGGCCAGGGTGAAAAAGGTAGACACAGTGAGAAAGTGTCTATGGGATAATGACAGAATCCTCCACACCTGCCAGAAGATCTTGACATTTGGATTCAGGGGACTTGATGAACTCAACATGTAGGCCTATAAACTCTAGTGTAAAAGGCAGGAGGAAGTTTCATAACCTTTCCAACGTATTTTCATTTATTTTAAAATATTTTTTTTGCATCAGGGTCTTTGTTGCCCAGGCTGGAGTGCAGTGGCATGATCATGATGATCACGGCTCATGGCAGCCTTGACCTCCAGGGCTCAGGTGATCCTTCTACCTCAGCACCCCAAGTAGCTGGGACTACAGGCGCCCACCACCATGCCTGGGTAATTTTTTGATTTTTTTTTTTGTAGAGATGAGGTTTCGCTTTGCTGCCTAGGCTGGCTTTGAACTCCTGGGTTCAAGCAATCCTCTGGCCTTGGCATACCAAAATGTTGGGATTATAGGCATGAGCCACCACATCCCACTTTGTCCAACATATTGCCGTGGCTGTCACCTTCTTGCTATGACAACAGGCAGAGAGCTTTCCGACAATGACCCTCAGACCTCAATTTTGGATTCAGCCTGTGGACTTCCCAATACTACCTTGGAGTAGAAGGACTTGCCCTGCCATCCAGCCCCTCGTTCCACAGTAGCTAATTCGACTTGGCAGAGCCCTGAAAGCTTAGTCTTTCGTGATCTAGGTCAGAGAGCCGGAATGAGTTGTATGCATTTCTGTTGTATAGGCTTCTGTTCAAAGTCAATTGCAAAATGTTGAACAAAGCAAATGGAGGATTACATTGAATGAATATTTAGAATACCAGGATTGCATTCAACTATGAGTAATAGAAACCTGAGAAGCGGTGTTTTAAGTAAATAGGAATTTATTTTTCTCTCACAGAATTCCAGAAGTAGACTGGCAGTGCAGCATGGATGGGGCAGTTCCAGTTCACCATCCTAGTGAGTGGTCCTCATCCTCATGCTCATAAGATAGCCACTGTTGCTCCAGCTGTCACATCGTGCTCTTGGAAACAGAAAAGGAGACAGGCCAAGTGAAAATGGGGCCCAGCGGTTGGGTCAGTATGTTTTTTAAGAAACTTTCCCAAGAGCCCCATTCAACAACTTCGACTTATATTTCAATGACCAGAACTTAGTCATATCTCTACCCCTATCTGCAAGAAAGGCTGGGAAATGTTGGATTCAATCTGGACACATTGCTTCCCCTGACAAAATCTGTTACTAAGGAGCAAGAATACTGGATAGGCACCTAGAAGTCTTTGCCACAAGATGTCTGTGAATGTATGAAAATGTGAGTTGCTGAAAGTGACCAAATGTCATATGGCCAGAACAGGTCATAAGGCTGGCAGGTAATACTGTCTGATGATAATATCACTCATCTATCATATATGCAAGTCCACCCAATAGGAGGTGACAGACATGGCTACCAGGAACACATTAACCACTTCATGAGTTTGCCACCCTTTATTCCAAGGATAGAACCCAGGAAAGACAGAATAGGAATATGTTAGCCACTATTTGCGTGAACATGCATAGTTTTGTCACTTTGCATGTTTTGCTTTCCAGCAAATTCATATTTAAATGAGAATATTAAGGCAATTGAACTTGTATCAACTCTCTCCTCCATCTTCAAGCAAATCCTTCATGCTTAAAAACTGGTGCCACTGGTTAACTAAGTCTAGGGTAGGCTGGGCACAGTAGTTCATGCCTGTAATCCCAGCACTTTAGGAGGCCAAGGTAGGAGGATTGCTTGAAACCAGGACCTCAAGACAGGTCTGTGCAATATAGCAAGACCCCATCTCTGAAAAAAAAAAAAAAAAAAAAATTAGGTGGACATGGTGGCTTTTGCCTGTGGTCTCAACTACTTAGAAGGATAAGGCAGAAGGATTGCTTAATCCCAGGAGTCCCAGTGAGCTATGATCGTGCAGCTGCACTTCAGCCTGGGTGACAAAGCAAGACCTTGTCTCTAAAAAATAAAGAAAAGAAACAAATTTAAAAGTCCAACATAATGATTTTTTTAGATAACTGAAGCATTCTTTTAAGCAACAATTAATAAAAAATTAACTAGTAAGAATGGAAATTATACTAAATTATAGTTTGTTTTCTCAACACACACACACACACACACACACACACACACACACACACACACACACACATTTTTTTTTGAATCGGAGTCACACTCTATTGCCCAGGCTGGAGTGCAGTGGCATGCTGCTCACAGCCACCACGGCCTCGACCTACTGGGCTCAGGTGATCCTTCTGCCTCAGCCTTCCAAGTAGCTGGAACTACAGGTGCGTGCTATCATGCCTGGCTTATTTTTTTTATTTATTGTAAAGATGAAGTCTCACCAAGTTGTCCAGGCTGGTCTCAAACCCATGGGCTCAGCCAATCCTCTCACCTTGGCCTCCCACAGTACTGGGATTATAGGTTTGAGCCACTACACCCGGCCCAACATGTATTGAATAACTTAACATAGTGGCAATTTTTTTGTTTTTAATTGACACAATACTTGTGCATATTTATGGAGTACAGCATGATGTTTCAATACATGCATATATTGTGTAAAAAATCAAATCAAGGTATATTTATCTAACATATCTATCACCTCACACATTTGTCATTTCTTTGTGGTGAGAACATTTACATATGTTTTCTTCTAGATATTTTGAGATATGCAACACAATGATGCTAACCATAGTCATCCTGTTGTGCAATAGAACACCAGAACTTATTGGTCCTATTTAAACTTGAACTTCATACCCGATGATCCAATCCACCCTATCCTCCCCTCCCCAATTTTCCCCAGCCTCTAGGAACCACTGTCATTCTCTGTATCTATGAAGTCAACTTCTTTAGATTCCACTTATGAGTGAGATCTTGCACTATTTGTCTTCTGGGACTGGCTTATTTCACCTAACAAAATGCCCTCCAGGTTCATCCATGCTGCTGCAAATGTTTGTAACTGAATAGTTTTCCAATACGTGTGTGTGTGTGTATGTGTGTGTATATACACCACATTATCTTTAAAAATATATATATATATAAATATATATATATGTTTTTACAGAGGCAGGATCTTGCCAAATCATCCAGGCTGTTTTTAATCTCCTGGCCTCAAGTGATCCTCCCACCTCGACCTCCCGAAGTGCTGGGACTACAGGCATGAGCTGCCTGGCTCATCATTTTCTTTATCCAGTCATCTGTTGATGGATATTTATGAGAAAAATACTCAATATCACTTATCATCAGGGAAATGCAAATCAAAACCACTATGACATATCATCTTGCTCCAATCAGAATGGCTATTATCAAAAAGACAAAAAACAATAAATGCTGGCATGAATGTGAAGGGAACTCTTACATACTGTCAGTGGGACCGTAAAGTAGAACAACCATTTTGGAAAACAGTAAGGATGTTCCTCAAAAAACTAAAACAGAGCGACCATATGATCCAGCAATCTCACTACTAGGTATACATCCAAAGGAAGTAAAACCAGCATGTGGAAGAGAGATCTGCACTCTCATGTCTGCTGCAGTGCCAGTCATGAAGACCACGATATGCAATCAACCTCAGTGTAATGAGATGTTTTTGACTGGCTGTTACTTGGGTACAAAACAACCTTTCTTACCATTTCCCACCCCTTCACCATCTGCCCCATATGCACAGCACACACTCCCTCCCCTTCCCTCTCCCCCACACTACTGCTATTTTAGGAAGGGACATTTTGACAAGGTGCTGCGGTATTCCTTTTTCCTAGAGGATAGCTTAGAGCCAGCAGGTACTCAGGCACTTGGGTCATTCTTGCATTTTTAAAATAAATACTTAAAATAATTGAAATGTATTTACTTCTAAACTGTCACCTCAAATTGCTATGTGTCTTGAATTCTTGTGCGCGCGTGTGTGTGTGTGTGTGTGTGTGTGTGTAAGGTACATTTTTGGTGTGTCTTATTCTAGCAGCAACTTTTATATTTGCTCTTTGTAAACTGCTGTGTTCTGGAAAAACCAGAACGCTTTGCTTATTAGCCTGTGGATAAAGTAAAAATAAAGGCTCTGGGCACTCTGAACCCCTGATGGTGGGGACGTGAATTGCTAAGCCCACTTTGAAAATGGTTTGACAGCACTTACAAAAACTGAATGTAGGCATACTTATGGACCATTCTCATGTTCATCAACTTAGTGACACAGCTTTATCCACACTCCCTGCAAGGACTCAACTCAGTCTTCCTTTCTCTGTGACAACTCAGGCCTTGTTGTTGATACCTCCCTCCCACAGTGTCCTCTCCAACATCTCATCCTGGGTGGGCCCACTTCATCCCATCAGAGGCCAGTTCACAGCTATGAACCCCGGTTGGAAGAATCAGGCAACTTGGGAAGTTTCTTCTCAATAAGCTCCTAGAGCAGTCTGCAAAATTTCCCATCCCTTCTCCAGAACACTGTACCAGTTAAGATGGTTTCACCATCAGTATCTAGAACCATAAAGTCCAATACAAACTGGCTTACACAATAAAGGTGAATCGGCTCATGTAACTGTGAAGACTAATATGGACTTCAGGTATAGTTCTATCTACGCTCCAGTTCAGTTTCTCTGAGATCTCTCAACTCTGCAATCTGCCAAGTGGACTTTGTCCTCAGGCAGAGGTCCTCCATATTTAAGATGTCTGCCAGTATCAACTGGGCTGTGTGCTTCCTTATTCAAGTGAGAAAAGAGCAAGCCTCCTCTCTCTAGATAACCATTGAATAAATGCTCAGAGATTAACTATGATGGGACATTCTGGTCATCACCTTCTGAACCAATCATGTTGGCAGCAAGACTTCATCCGCTTGCAATGCTGAAGCCTCAAGCCCTAGTCAAGCAAAACAAACCAAAAAGCCAAAAAACAAATGAAAACCCAACTCCTGTTGCAAGCCTCCAGAATAATGGGTGCCTTACTGTGTCTATGTCACTAAAAAGGATCCACTCATGTGGCTTATCTAAACACAAAGAAGGTATTCTCCAATGTGATTCATGCCCTTGTGATTCCTAAGAAATAGCAATGGTTGGCAATATTTAATTTCTTTTTTCTTTTTTTTTTTTAGTTTTAGAGACCGGGTTTCAATATTTTGCCCAGGCTGAACTCTTGGACTCAAGTGATCCTCCTGCCTTGGCTGCTTACAGGTTTATGCCACAGCGTGTGGCCTTGGCAATATTAAATGCCAACTTCCTATAACATAAAGTTATGTCGCGCTGCTGAACCAGACTGTAACATTCACCCTCTTTTCCAAGAAATTCAAGACAATTTGGTTGGAAGAGATAACCACATGTCATAGCATTGTAGCACAGGATCAGGACTAATTATAATAATAATGACTCATCTTTGATTAGCATTTTATAATTTCCACTTTTTTTCATGTGCAGCATCTCATTTCACCTCTGGAAGCAGAGTAGAAACTGTACTGTTATATCCAGTTTGTGGATAAGGGAATCTCAGAGAGCTTGGGTGAGTTCCCCAAGGTCAGTGATGTGTAAGTGACAGAACTACAGTAGGATCTAGGTCTTTTTTCTGTATTTTTGTGGAGATCTCTCCTATGAATAGTCCTTTGGACCATGGTACAAAATAAGAAAGATAAGATGCAAATATGATCAGAGGAATGAGTGACTGAGCAGGGGTTGTATGAAAGGAGGGTTCCTTTACTGCAGGACTTTGTTGCACAGGAGAGAGACGACAGGAAAGATCTCTCAACCTTGGCTTCTGTCTTGTTTGTTTGTTTTCTTTCCCAATTTACTTCTTCCTGTTTCTTGCTTTCCTAAATTCTCTCCTTTGGTGCAACTTTCTCAAACACAATACTAAATACTTTCCATGCTATGACTCCATTCAAGAATAAATTCTGAAAGTATATCCTAGAAGGGTAGTGAGTGGGAGGCAAGGTAGGGAAAGGTGGGGGAACAGGACTGGGGAAGGAGAGAGTGAGAGCTTGAATAATGAAAGAGAAAAGAAGAAAGAAATGGAAATCGAGTGGGCTC